GTTGTAAAAAGTGGATTTAAGAAAAGGCCTGATCAAACAACAAAGTACAATGCCTAATCCTGTAACACTCCCATTTTAATGTCCATCATTATTTATTGCCTGAAGACTGAAATTTGGCATGTTAGCTTCTGGTGCCGTACAAATCTGCATATTCCGGACTGGACTGGACACTTCCTTTTTAAATATACCACCTTTCCCAGAAAATTTGAGACTCAAGATAATGTACAGATTAAAACAAACAAAATATAGCTAGAAACAAACAAAAAATTAACGTTAATCTAGAATTAAATTACTATCGTATTAAAACAACATAACATGCTAAAATAAAGTTTAAAAGCAGTACAATTAAATCAGGTATGCCTTTGCTTCTTCTGAGAGTAAGGACTGAATCCCATGAAAAGAGGAAAAGCAAGGGAAAGAAGGGAAAGTGAAGGGAACCGTCTTACTTAGTTTCTTACCATTAAGATCCATCTACTGGGATGGCCAGCCATCCCTGTCTTTCCCCCATCTTTCCCTCGTCTTCTGGTATTTGGAGTCGGGTAACACCCGACTCCTGAAAAAACATTCTCAGCTCCATTTCCATGTGCTGTGGAAACAGTGTCCCATGGAGTCCCACTGGAAGTGCCCTTACATCATGTGATGACCTCCATGGGACTCCGTTTCCGAAGTGCATAGAAATGGAGTCCAGAATGTGTGGGATGGGGTCCTAAGAGAGTCTGACTTGCCCTGTCAGTTTCCATGGTTGAGCAGGGATTTGAGCAGGAACCCTGATCTTGAGTTTGTACTCCAGTGCTCAAACCATATATTTTTTTTGTCTGAACTTTGAAGGACAACAAGGAGGAGGTCATTCTCTGAAAAGGGAGTTCCAAAGCATGGGGGCAGGCACTGAAAAGGCTCTCTTTTGTGTTACCACCCCCCATGTTTGAGGGAGTGGTGGTGATGAGAGAAGGACATCTCCTGAATATCTCATGTATATATTGGGGCACTATATAGATAGCTCCTTTGCATACTGGAGTAGTGACCTCACTTATATAGAAGCCACCAGCTAGTAGAGGGCTATTTGCAAAACTCTCTTTGAAAAAAGTCTAGTCTGCTGAGAAGACTGTACTATGTCTTCTGTACTGCATGTTTGACCGGATTCTTTGTGTACACAAGGCAAGCAGCGGCTGTATATATCTATATATAGATAAAATGCTTTAGTCTGCCAGCATTTTAAATCAACAGTTTTGTGCCAATATTTGTTTAATTTGTTTAACAGATAACCTATTGTTTTCAGGATTTGGTGGCACACCATGAATATAAATCCTTCATCAACTATGAAAATGAGCAAATATCAGTTTAGTGAATAGGCTTATTGTATAATATGTTGTTGGATTGCATCAGCATAGAGGCTGAGATGGATACTGGGAGTTGCAATCTAAAATACTTGCTAAACCTCACATTTCCCCATGTGAGGTGTACAGCAGGAATGGTTGATAGAAAAACAGAACAGCCCTAGTATATTTTTAAAGGTTGAAAATTCTGCCCCTTTGGTTACAAAGATGGGATCCAAAACATGGTTTGGTCTTTAACAAAAGCCTCTTCTACATGGCCATATAATCCAGATTATCAAATCAGAAAATCCAGATTATCTTCTTTGAACTGGATTATATGAGTCTATACTGCCATTTAGTCCAGTTTAAAGCAGATAATCTGGATTTTATATGGCAGTGTAGAAGGGGCCTAAGGACCCGCCCCTCCCCTTGTGTCATTTCACCGGCAAACATGACGAAATGGCAGGCATGTTGGGTGACTCTGTCTCCTTGCACACCACTCTGGCATGGTGATGCTTCTCCCATCACACAGGGGAAGTGTTGCCCAATTGGGGCAGAATTTGCTGGCATCAATTGAACCAGCACAACATGGGACACTTTCATCCTGGTTGGGGGTGAGGCCTCCACTGGAAGTTGTGGGACATCGTGTGATGGGCTGCATGCCTATCCATATCTGAACTGACTGGCTAGTGTCCTAGGATGCTTAAATTGGTATGTGTGATGATGAGGTCCTAAGAAAGACACTATTCAGATTTAGGACTTCATCAGATGCAAAGCTTCTCTCCACTGCCAGAATGGAGTTCCACGGAGACCATCACATGATGTTGGGCAACTTTCTGTGGGACTCCACAGGTCTCTATTCTGGCAACGGGGAGAAGTGGAGCTCCGAGTGCCCCTGGGGGAGTCAGTTGTTTACTCAACTCCTCGTTGAAGAATGTGAGGAAGAAGCGGGGTAAGACTGATCTGAAGCTGGGAAGATGTGGGAAGACAGAGGACTGATCCTGACAGGAGGGAACAAAGCCTGATGGTTCCTTCAATTGTCCCACGCTTTCCCACACTTTCCCATATTGTCCCACTCTTGAGGTCCTGAGTGAGCAAACTGACTGTAGAGTTGCCAGACTAGATTATCTAGCACTACCTGAATGAAACTGATCTGTGTTCCTCTCTAGAATCCCGTGCATTGTCAAGATCTTCAGGATAAAGTGCAGAAAGAACAGGGAAACTGGTTTCAAATGAAGCCCAGTCTCTTTAGTGTTGCAGAATAAGTTAGATTTGCAGAACATTCTTCAAGGCCTGCTGCAAGCTTCTTCTTTAATCATTTAGAAAAATCAGAAGCTAGTTAACTAAGCTTGCTGTGGGCTTTAGCAGCTGCTGCAGAAGAAATCCCAAAGTATTGTTACTAAAGTGAGAATTTTTCCTCACCAGAAACCGTTGCACGATAAATCTTCTGGCTGCTACTGGCCAGTGGTTTCTGTGGTTTTCCTCCTCCGCCACCAGCATTACAATGGCTTGATGTGCCAGACAGAGGACATCATATAAAGCAGGATTGGTGCACTTTGTCAGGCCAACGGACATAATGAGCATTCTGGGGAAATTCAGCTAAACAAACAATATTACTGAAACTGTTTACAAAATGATGTTCAGATAGCATATCATCTTATCAAGTTTGGCAAACCCTAAAATTTATTCAATTGACAGAGCTAGATAAACTCTCTTTTATATTGAAAGAGAACTCTATGCAGAACTTCCAGAATAATTGGATACCATTTTATTGTATTTGAAAAAATAAAAAAAGGATTGAGTTTTAACAAGTTTTGACAATTAAAATTCTGATATTTCTGCTTTATTTTGAAAAGTTAACAATATACCGTGAATGGAAAATCTCATATAAAACAAAGTACAGTAGAGTCTCACATATCCAACCTTCGCTTATCCAATGTTCTGTATTGTTTTATTTATTTTATTTATTTAGCAATTTTGTATACTGGTCTTCTCCCCTCTATCAGGGGACTCGGGCCGGTTTCCAACAATAAAATCACAAAACAATCATTAAAAACATCATATAACATATTCAATTAAAACGTTATAACAGCAAAATGCAATCACATAATAACAATGGTCAGTTGTCATAGTGAATTCGTTGTCCATCATTCACCGTCATCTATCCGATCACAGAAATATTGATTCACTCGTCAAAAGCCAAACCCCATAGCCAGGTTTTCACCCGTTTTCTGAATGATAGAATGGAGGGGGCAGTTCTGATCTCCAGTGGGAGAGAGTTCCAGAGTCGAGGGGCCACCACTGAGAAGACTCTGTCCCTCGTCCCCACCAGACACGCCTGAGAGGCTGATGGGACCAAGAGCAGGGCCCCTCCAGATGATCTTAACCTAGATGGTTCATAGGGGAGAATACGTTCGGACAGGTAAACTTGGCCGGAGTCGTTTAGGGCTTTATAGGTTAACACCAGCACTTTGAATTGTGCTCGGAAGCTAATTGGCAGCCAGTGGAGCTGGCGCAACAGAGGAGTGGTACGCTCCCTGTACCTTGCTCATGTTAGCATTCTGGCTGCCGCACGTTGGACTAGTTGGAGCTTCCGGGCAGTCTTCATAGGCAACCCCACATAGAGAGCATTGCAGTAATCTAAACGGGATGTAACCAAAGCATGGACCACCATGGACAAGTCAGACTTCTCAAGGTACGGGCGCAGCTGGCGCACAAGTTTTAATTGTGCAAAAGGTCTCCTGACTACCGCTGAAACCTGGGGCTCCAGGCTCAGCAATGAGTCCAGGATCACTCCCAAACTGCGAACCTGCGCCTTCAGGGGGAGTGTGACCCCGTCAAGCACAGGCTGTAACCCTATGCCCTGTTCGGCCTTTCGACTGACCAGGAGTACCTCTGTCTTGTCTGGATTTAGTTTCAATCTGTTGTCCCTCATCCAGTCCGTTACAGCGGCCAAGCACCGGTTCAGGACCTGAACAGCCTCCTTAGTAGCAGGTGGAAAGGAGTGACAGAGTTGGACATCATCTGCATACAGATGACACCGCACCCCGAAACTCCAATGCAGTTGCCTCCTGCCCAGATCTACAGTTGTTTCAATACATCACAATGTTTTGGTACTAAATGCGTAAATACAGTAATTACTACATAACATTACCATGTATTGAACTGCTTTTTATGTCGATTTTTTTGTAAAACATGATGTGTTGGTGCTTAGTTTGTAAAATCATAACATAATTTGATGTTTAATAGGCTTTTCCTTAATCCCTCATTATCCAACATTTTCGCTTATCCAACGTTTTGCCAGCCCCTTTATGTTGGATGAGTGAGACTCTACTGTATATAGTTAAAGATGGTTTCTAGCCTTTATTTGGTTGTCCTGGAGTGAAGTGACAACAGGGAGTCAATTAAATAGAATGTGTAAAAGGACAAGGTGCTGTCACAAGAATGGTAAATGCAGGCTTTATATATGTTCATCTAATTGTTAACATCAGTATTCAAGAATATGACTACGTGATGCCTTTTTTGGTGTATATGCACCAGATGAAATCAATTGTAAATAATATGATTAAAAGTTTAAATCTTTTTAAATATTTTAAAATATTTTGATGAGACAAAATGAAGCAATTTTGATTTGTAATTCAGTTATTCTTTATTGCTAAAATTTTGGTGTGTTTCTGCTTTCCAAAATTAACTAACGACTGTTGTCTTGAGCACCTTACATGGCAACTTAACTGTACAACAAGCAGGGCAATCCAGAGCTTCTGGAGGTGGAGCCAAAACCCTCCATTCTCCTATGCTTTGATCTAGCATATATGCTTGCCGATTGATGGAATGTCCTTCGGGAGGCTGGTCACCTGGACAAATGAGACCTCCACACACAAATACTTTGTCCTTTTCCACCTGGCATACCGCATGCGACAGATCCAAACGATAGTTATTTGGTAAGAGAGGCACATGTTTTATGGACTTGTTCATTTTAATATTCTTGAGGTTTATTTCCACACTCTCTTTGTGGCTTTGAACACACAAGATGTTGCCCTGTGAAAATGACAACAAGGGTTTCTGATTGAACTGAATAGGGAAAGTGGTGCATTGCACCACATTCCGGGTTACTGTGTCAAAGCAGTCCAGCACACCCACTCGGGAGATTACTTCATTCACCAGGCACCTACCGGTCACAATATAAATAATCTTGTCTGCCTTGGTGATTAGTGCTGTCGCATCCATGCGTATACTCATTTTCCCAGCAAGAACCCAATTCTCTTTGACTTCATCATACTTATAAATACTTGAAATGTATTTTCTTGGAGCTGTGCTTCCCCCGATGGAGTACACGGCCCCTCCACAAGTCACCATGGTGTGGAAGACCAAACCTATGGGCAGGTCTGAAAGCTGAAGCCAGGAGTTATCATCCACATTGTACTTCCATGCTGTCTTCAGGCCAGATATTTGCTCATTTGTTCCTCCAGAGACATAAATGTATTTGCCCAGTGAAGTAGCACTCAGAGCTGAAGCTCTGTAAGGCATCTCCGTCAGCTTCAGCCAGATGTTCTGTTCAACAATGTAGGCAAAAACACCGCTGCTGAAATTTCCCTGCTGTTTTTGTCCTCCTAGAATCACCACAGCATCCATAAGTGCCCCCTTCCTCTGGTTCAGCATCAGATTTTGGGGATTGCCCTGTTTACGCTCACTCAGGATGCTTTCTATCTGGGCCAAGGGGCCACTATGTTCAGTAAAGAGCAAGATCTCACGGCAGGCAGCAAGCAGTGTCCTGGTGGACACGGCAGATAAATGTACATAACGCAAATATTTTTTAAACAAAGTCTCTCTCTCAGCCTTTTTATGTTTCACCCACTGAATGAGAACCAGAAAGACCTGGTCCTCATTTTGTGCATGAAGATCTTCATCCTTGAGGAGCTTTCTAAAGATGGGAGGGGGGGAAAACATTAATTCTCCTATGCACTGTGGGCCTGCCAAGTAATAGAAATGATCTCGAGTGGTATCATAGGCTGGATATACTACCTCTTTCAGGTTATATTTCATGGCTAGCAGTAGATACTTGAAGCAGTTATTCTTCTCGAGAGTCCTCTGGAGGAAGTTAGAGCAGTGGTTTTCCAAGTTTTGAGAGCCGAAGTACTTGGTTCCCTTCAGAAGGTCTTCCACATTCTTCTCTGAAATCACAATCATCCCTGTATAAAAATAGTTGAGCAACTCCCCCACCAAGGCCGAGCTCAAGAACTTGGAGTCAATGACAATTAAGAGTTCATCATCTGCTTTCATATCATTCTTGATTATCAGAATCCTTACTTGGGAGGACACTACTGCTAACACATTGAGGTGAGCATAAAAGTCATTCTCGTCCACTCTGAGGACCACATCACAAAACTCCCTGGTCTTTCTTTGCCTGTCAAGGGCCTGCATTATAAAACCACGGTGATTCTTTTCTGTGAACAGTATCCTCATTTTTGGAATCAAGCTGACCTTGAAGGAAGGGAGCTGGCAAAAACCTAGAGGGCTCTTGCCTCAGGGGCTGAAAAGTCCACTCTGGGCAAAGTGGAATGAAGTCATCAGTTATGGTTGCCAGGTCACAATTACCTATGATATGCATTAAAAATAGCATTTTCAGCTTTGCTGTTTTGTACTGACAGAATTCCTTTGCTAAACTTATTAGAAAAGAAAGAGGTACAGGTGAAGCACCCTGATTTTTTTTTGCTGGGGTTTATGATTCCTCAACATTGTGTTTATGTGTCTGTTCAAGTCTCCTATCATCTTATGGTGACCCTAAGAATATAACAGGGTTTTCTTAGGCAAGAGGTGGTTTTGCTATTTCCTTCTTCTGAAATATAGCCTACAACACCTGGTATTCCCTAGATTTTTTCCATCTAGCTACTAACCAGTGCTGACCCTCCTTAGCTTCAAAGTTCAATTAGGATCTTGTGCCGCTACATTCATGTGGCCAAATTCTGAGTTCTGATGACTTTTCTCTAAATATTGCAGCATATGTGACACTAAAGATCAAAAGCATGTGTATGAACATGCCATGGGCAGGTGAGTATGTTACACCTGTGCATTATGTTCACATACCACTAGGCAGCTTTGTCTTCCTTCCTTACATGGAGGGTGGGTTGAACAGCCATTCTTGGTGACAACTTTAGTTTGCTAGCTTAGAGACTTTTAACAGCATACTTTCTGCATCGCCTGTTAAAAGTACATAAGTTTCAAAGGTCAATGAACTGATGCGATCATGTTTTGCTGGCAGAATAGAAGAACTGTGCCACTTTATGAAAAGGTTAGCCTCCTTCAGCCTATGGAAGAAGTCATGTCTGTGCTGCTTGACAAAAAATAGATTTTTGGGGGGGAAAAGTTGTTATAAAAATAACTCAGGTCTAAGCTCATGACCTTTATGACTATGGAAAGGCCTGTATATTTGGCACCAGAAGACAAACATGAATGAATGAACAGGTTTGTTGGAAGGATGCCATTTTGCTTGGGTGAGAACTTGATTAACAGTGGTGTGTAGAGGTCACACAACTTACCTAAGACTGGAGCAAGTGAAATAAAAACATCCTATTGGAAGAGTGCCAAAGGGTGCAATTCAAATCCATTTCAATAAAGCCTGTAAGCAAAGGATTAATATGGGATTCCAGGATTAGACTATCTCCTGGTAGCTGTTTTCAGAGCCAGGAAATCCTGGAATACGTGATGAAATAATGTATTATGATGTTCCAAAACACTGGCTGAATTGTAGAGCAGTGGTACTCAACCTGTTGGGTCCACAGATGTTTCGGACTTCAACTCCCAGAAATCCTAATAGCTGGTAAACTGGCGGGCTTCTGGGAGTTGTAAGCCAAAACACCTGGGACCCACAGGTTGAGAACCACTGTTGTAGAATGAATGCAGCTTGGCACCACTTTAACTGCCCTGATTCAGTGCTATGTAATCGTGGAAGTTGTCGTTCTACAAGGTCTGTGGCCTTCTCTGCCAAAGAGTGCTGGAGTTTTGCCAAACTACAGATCCTAGAATTCCACAGCATAGTTGCACAATCCTTTAGGAGTGGGTTGACAGGCCAGTAGGCCGGGATGCCTTGTATTCATATATGGTTTTACTGTATGTATGGGCAAGTGTGTATGTTTTGTATGTTTTGCATGTTTTGATATGGTCAGAATGGACTAATCAATAAAGAATTGTTGTTATTGTTGAATTCCACAGCACTGAGCCATAAAAATTAAACAGTGTCACATTTTAGCTGCCATGGCTCTACATTCTATGATCTTATTCCTTCAGCAAGCTGGAGTTTGGCAGCAATTCTTTAATAGCAAATTAATTTCAATTCATTCCCTTTTGCAGTAATAAAGGTATAACATAACTACAGATAATTTCACTTTTTTCTGTAATATATCTATAACTGGGATGGCCAACAGAATTTTTGGCTTGGGTGCTCTAAGGGGGCTGTTTCCTCTTCTCTAACCTCATTCCACCTGACCTAATGCTAATAGCAGTTTGTCCCAGGCCCCTTCCACACAGATGAATAAAATCCCACATTTTCTGCTTTGAACTGGAATATATGGCAGTGTGGACTCAGATAATGCAATTCAAAGCAGATATTGTAGGATTTTTCTGCCTTGATATTCTGGGTTATATGGCTATGTTGAAGGGCCCTTAGTCATTGCTTTTCCCTTTGGTATCTAATCAGTTGACAAATGAGGAAATAGTTCAATGAAGCTGAGAGATGGCTCAAAGAGGGATCTTTGGCAAGGCCTCATGGCCATGTTTTGAAGAGTCCCTTTGTCTGTTGGTTGAGTGGGAATAAACAGCTAGTGCCCATTGAAAGGGAGTGTCTTTTGGGAATCTCTCAAGGGCAGAATTGGACCCTTTTCTATTCTTCCATCTGGGACACCAGTTTCAAAACCACTGTAAACAACAGTGAGCAGAATCACAGTGCACAGTGGGACGCCCCCCCCCCGACAAAACCCTATTTTTTTTCTTTGCAGTCACCAAAGTAAACTGGACAACAAGCAGCCCCCAAGTTACAAGCAAAATCAGTTTTGTAGGTTTGTTCTTAAGTTGAATTTATAAGTCAGAACAAGTATATTTTTAATGTGTAATGTGGATAAGTGAAAATGTTGGATAATAAGAAGGGATTAAGAAAAATCCTATTAAGCATCAAATTACATTATGATTTTACAAATTAAGCACTAAAACATCATGTTCTACAACAAATCGACAGAAAAAGCAGTTCAATACACGGTAACGTTTTGTAGTAATTACTGTATTTACGAATTTAGCACCAAAACATCGAAATGTGTTGAAACAGCTGTGGATCCAGGTGGGAGGCAGACTACGTTGGATAATACAGAACAGAACATTGGATGAGCGAAGGCTGGATAAGCGAGACTCTACTGTGTATGTGTGTGTGTGTGTGTATATATATGTATGGGGGGGGGGCTTTGGATACCACAGGGAAGGGTTAGCACCCTTGTGAGATTTATTTTGCTGTCTGTGCCCCTGTTCAGAAGATTTCACTGCACTTTCTGTCCCTGTGATCATTGGGCTTTGAAACATTTGTTATGGAAACAAGGATTGTTGATAAAACTTCAATGGAGACACCTTTTTCTTTTCCCCATAACTCTTTCAGTAGTTATTTAGCTCATTTTCTACACTGTGTGAGAAGGCCTACTATGTTCAACAAGATTAGGTAGATAGGACTGCAGAACTCTTTGAAAGTTGACTTAGAGTAAACCTCACTGATCCCAGATCTCATTCTCCTTTCTTCTTATTCTCTCTTCCCTTCACTCTTCTAATGTCTTTGACACTGTGATCTGTGATTTACATAACTTTATTGTAGACCAGGAGTTCCCAAAAATTTTCAGCTGTGGAGCCCTTTTTGAAGTAAAAGTTTCTTGTGGAGCCCCAAGAAATGTTTATATATATCAGGCATGGGGAAAATTTTTGACCAGCATAAACTTAACAGTAATTCAGTGGAAGACTCCAAGAGCCATCCAGTCCAACCCCCATCTGATATTCACGAAAAGCACAATCAAAGCACCGCAACAGAAGGCCACCCAGCCTTTGTATTATTATTATTATTATTATTATTATTATTATTATTATTATTATTAGCAACCCCAGGGGCCATCTAGTCCGCTGTGACGGTCTGGACAGAGGTACTCCTAGTCAGTTGTTAGGCCAAACAGGGCATGGGGTTACAGCCTGTGTTGGACGGGGTTACACTCCCCCTAAAGACGCAGGTTCGCAGCTTGGGAGTGATCCTGGACTCATCGCTGAGCCTGGAACCCCAGGTTTCGGTGGTGACCAGGGGAGTTTTTGCACAGTTAAAGCTTGTACACCAGCTGTGCCCATACCTTGGGAAGTCTGACTTGGCCATGGTAGCCCATGCTCTCGTTACATCCTGCATAGACTACTGCAACACGCTCTACGTGGGGTTACCTTTGAAGACTGTCCAGAAACTTCAAATGGTCCAATGAACGGCAGCCAGATTACTAACAGGAGTGGTGCTCAGGGAGTATACAACTCCTCTGTTGTGTCAGCTCCACTGGCTGCCAGTCTGCTACTGGGCACAATTCAATGTACTGGCTTTAGCCTATAAAGCTCTAGACGGTTCTGGCCCAATTTACCTGTCTGAATGCATCACCCCTTATGAACCTGCTGGAACTTTAACATCATCCGGGGAGGCACTGCTCTCAATCCTACCTGTGTCATAAACACGTTTGGTGGGGACGAGAGACAGGACCTTCTCAGTGATGGCCCCTCGGCTATGGAACACCCTTCTTGGGGACATTAGATCAGCCCCCTCCAATGGTTGTTTGAGCAAGTGAAAATGCAAGGTAAAAGACATAGGAATTTGGAACGACTGGACAACGAGATTGGACAGTGTTTTTATTCGGACAGTGAAGAAAGCTGACAGAAAGAAAATAATTTCATTTGAAATAGTGTGCAAGAAAGGAGTTCTACAGATGCTGCTAGGACTATTAAAAAGACAAATAAATGGTTTCTAGAGACTGTGGTGCTTTGACATATCGTCAGAGTCGGTTAACTTGAAGGCAAACAACAACATGAGTGGTGGGAATCTTCTATTTCACAATAGCTTTAAATCATTTAATTACTAGTGTATTCCAGCAGACAAAATATGAGGACAGCATGGCAATACTGCTTTTCATACCCAAGTTCTAGTATTCATCTCCTCCTAACTCTTTTGTGACTTGTTCTATTTTGATTTGCAAGCCTTCAGGCAGAGATTTGTCGTTTGTTCTTAATTTACCATGAAGTGCTTAGTAAATTTTAAGTGCTGTACAAATTAATCCTAATAACAATGATAATGTCATGAACGGCAGGGGCTGCAGCCATTTTCCTGGCCATTCCAACCATCATTTGTGACAGTTGCACCACAGCAGCTTGCAAAATATTAGCTGTGGGCGTTTCTTTTGGCACTGCTGATATCCAGTAGGACTTGAAAGCACTGTTGACTTAAATAATATAAATCAATAAAACTCTTATCTGATGGTGGGTTGGGCCGGGCCAAAGGGCCATCTGGTGACAGTGAGCTT